GAAGTCAGAAAAGATACAGAAAAAATGTGGCAATGACCTCAGTTTTTCAGAAGAAATGTACCAAAAGACTCCTTGCAAAGACATGGGTGTGGAATACTAACTTGATTAGGTGTGGTGCTTGCAAAGATTCTGTGTGACTGACACTTAGAGCAGAGCTCTTAGACTTTCTCACTGTTCTGCTTGACAAATCCTTGCTTCTAAAAAATAGGACATGAGATTCAAAACAGGAACATCAGAATGATTTATCCTCTTAATGTTGGTATACAACCTTTGTCTCCCCACCCCCTCACCACTGGATTCTCATGTTATTGTTTTTGTTTTGTTTTAACTGTTCTTTTTCTCCTTCTTTCCAGAGGCAAACTATGCAAGAGGCACCAGACTCCCTCTTTCTGGTGAAGGACCAACTTCTCAGCCGAATAGCTCCAAGCAAACTGTCCTGTCCTGGCAAGCTGCAATCGATGCTGCTAGACAGGCCAAGGCTGCCCAAACTATGAGCACCTCTGCACCCCCACCTGTAGGATCTCTTTCCCAAAGAAAACGTCAGCAATACGCCAAGAGCAAAAAACAGGGTAACTCGTCCAACAGCAGACCAGCCCGAGCCCTTTTCTGTTTATCACTGAATAACCCCATCCGAAGAGCCTGCATTAGTATAGTGGAATGGAAGTATCCTTTTTTTTGGGGGGGGGGAGTCTTTCTCATTTTCTCTTTTACCATCTGTTCTTTAAAAGGATTTGCTTTCTGAAATGACACTTACAAAGCTGTAGCAGTCTGGAATGTGAAGCTGTGTATTAGGGGTTTCATGGTATATAACTTCCTGTCTCCTTAGGTTACAGAAGGATGGCTCCCTGGGTATATTTAGCCTACTGTCTGTGTGGGTGTGTGTTTAGTGATGGGGGGAGGGAGTGAAGCCTAAAACTTCAAAGTGGTAGAGAATTAAAATATGAAACTGATCTTTGGTCATTAGACACTACATGGTTAGTTTTAAATCCACCGTTGTTTTGGGGCTGTGCTATACATTGAACCTATTGCAGATGAGGTACACTGATGAGAAAAAAAAAAAAAGACTGAGCCTGTACTAAGACTGTACTGGAAGTGACCTTTGGTGGAATCTTCTCATTTCTTATATTTGAAATTTTCTTCTGCAACTACAGTTAATGCTAGGTTGCTTCAAGTTCTGACATTTGACATTTCTAATTGTTCAGGTAACTGCAAATATGAACGTTTCTTTCATAGAGAGTGTTTCTGATTTTTTTGGGGCTATAAATGCTGTGATTTCCTGGAATTTCCTCTTTGACAAGTTCAAAAACAGTATTTGAAACGTGAGTATGGGGAAGCCTGTGCAGGGAGAGGTTTGTGAATGCTTGTTCTTCCTGAGCCTTGGAGAGTTATAGAACAGCCCTCTCAGTGGAGGAATTTGCAGTTGCTGTCTTTATAAAAAAATTCTGTCTATGTCCTTGGACTGAAGTTACATTTCTGGGCGTCTCCTTTGTATTTTTAAAACTGAGTTCCAAGTGCCCCGTGATGGTTGTCATACTCTAGATCTTCGATGACTTATTGTGCTTCTGCCTGTTTATCCCCATCCCTGTACCTGGAGGCCAGACTCCAGTTATTGTCTTCCTTCAGAAAAAGTTGACTGAAATCTTCTCTTTGAACAAAATTTGGCTAATTAGTCAGATGATTTGTTGGTCCGGGAAAAGTAAAGCATTTTCTTTTCCCAGAAGAGTATTTGGGGCTGATAGGTGCCTCAGAGCAGTTCCTAATGGTAGACCGGAGTGACAAAATTGAGCTTCCCTAACCAGGCCCAGAAAGGTGGAGAGGATGTTGACAGCTGGCTAGGAAGTGGAGCTGAACCCCCTAATAATTTGAGTCCTAAGCTAGGCATTTATTTGTTTGCCCTTTGTCTTAGCTTACTATTTTCTCTGCTTCTGGACAGGAGTTAAAAATGAGGCAACTGTCTAAAAGGTATTGGAGAGAGCAGTTGAATGCATGGGTAGGATTTGAAAGGTTTTCATGTGCTTTTTCTTTTTAGAACAGATGTCTCTTCTCTCAAGTGAGTTATGATGTCTCTCACATTAGCTGGGGTTGTGTGCGTGCATTTTCTCTTTAAGTTCTTTTCTAGTCTGAGGACAGAACACTCATGTCAGGCCGGCAAGGAACTAGGTAAATTAGTGTGTGCCTCCATAGCCTCACTGGAGTCAAGGGTAGCAGTGCATTTGCCAGAAAGATCTCCTCCTCCTTAGATTGTCTTGATGTGACTCTGAGTAAGCAGAGACCTCTTGGTGAGGTCATTAATTTTATGTGGAGTGAGGTGGGAGACCCAATGCTGTTTCTCTTTGTGTACAGTATTTTGTACATAACAACTTATGTGTATAAAGTGAATTCCTGGATCACGATGCTGGCTTCCTTTCCCAAGTTGCCAGATATATGTATACAGGAAATAGGGCATGTGGCTTCTGGTTCAGGGAGAAACCTGCTTACAAGTGGGATGGTTTGTAGAATAGGTAGATATTAAGTGATATGTGATCTATTTGTTTTGTCAAATGACAGTTTCCTTCCATTTTAGGGAGCTAGTTATAGAAATCCACCCTATGCCAGCTCTGTCAGGCCCTGCAAGCACTGGGGAAATGAGAGTCTTGTTTGTTTTTACAGATAGGCAGGGCAGAGGGTCCTGGACCTTGGGGGAGCAAAAAGTGTTCCTCTCATTAGAAGAAATTGTTAGGATCAGACCCCATCTACTTTGTGTGGCAGTGAGATAGTATCCACCAGTGTCTGGGGACTGAAATCAGACCAAGACAAAACAAAAAACACATTTTATGTTTAGCCTTCCTGAACAGTTGAACATGTTAGTATTGCTCAGATTTGCATGTTTATCATTTAGGGAGTTTGGAAAAGAAGGATGCTGGTATGGGGGCAGGGGAAGCACTAACTGTTTCTACAGAGAATAACTTTGGGGCAGTCAATTTTTTAAATTTCAGTGGGAAACCTGAAAAATGAAATGAGAATTATGAAGTCTCCCCCTGCCTCACCCCAGTCCTGGGGATTGAATCCAAGAGTGCTCAGCTACTGAGCTACATGGTCGGTTCTTTTATTTTATTTTGAGACAGGGTCTTGCCAAATTGCCCATGCTGGTACTGGGGATTGAACCCAAGGCCTTGCAAATGGGAGGCAAATGCTCTATCATAGAGCTACAGCCTCAGCCCTCAGAAGTCTTCTTAAGGTGGACTGCCTTAAAGTTGGATCCCTGGATAAAAGATTTGTAACACTAGATGAGTTAAGAGAATCAATATGAGTTAAAGCTAACGGGTTTAAAATAAACCCATCAAAGTTAGTAAGGGGATAATGTTATTCCTGTCCTTATTCCAATTAGTTATCAAAGCTCTTCAAAGGGGCTGAGGTTTTATGAAACCCAAGAGATCTCCAGAGAGGTAAGGGATATTTATTCCTTACATCATTTTTTTTGATTTCCCAGAAGAGTATCAGGATGAATAGGGAAGAGTCTGTTGATAGCTTCAAATCTTTAGTACCTTGAGGGATTTAGTTAAACCATGGCCTTGCTTCTTGTGGATGAATGTACAGGAACACTGTTGTAAAATCAAGCCCAGGAATCACAAATTAGGTTGGTGTTCCTAAAACCTCGAGTTTAAAATGGCTGAAAACCAAAAGAATAAAAACAGCCATTTTTGGCAAATATCAAATTTGTATTGCCAGTTTTTACAATGTCTCTTAATAACACTAGCATGTTTTAGTAAGTATGTGTTCGAGGCTGATCTCAAAGTGATTCTTACAGAGAGACCTCCAAGATTTAAAATTGTTAAGGCCTATTTTTAAAGTGTCTGGTGCTGATTTCTTATGGCTTTTTAATTTAATTTGTTTATAAATTGGACACAGCAACAGCACATTATAAACTGAGCTCCGGTCCAGCTTTAATCCGAAACAGTTATAGCTATCGATTACTCTAGAAGAGAAAGCAGAGGAGGGAGCTGGAGCCTGGCATGCTTATCACAGCATCTGAGGTACTGAAAGTCATGAGAGTCACAGGGAGAATGGAGAAGATTCCTAGTGGCTTTGTCCTCCCCAATCCAGATAGGAGATTTAGACTGACCCAGCCAGGAATAGCCCCTGAGAAAATGGCTCTAACACATGGAGGCAAGGATCTGTGGAAGAGATTTATACCATGATGGCTACTTTCTCTGTGTCTACAACAGCTGGGAATTTAGTAAGGCCCTCCTTGCTTTTTAAGCTCCAAGAAGCAGAAACCTGGTTCACACAATGCCCTAACTGGCTGTTCAATACTTTTAGGTTTTAATATACAACGTATAGCAGAATAATGAATGTAACATGATTCTTGCAACAGAAAGAGGACATGAAGAGGTCACTGGATAGGGTGACCTACTGTGAGATGACCTTCGATGATTATTTCTCTTGAAAACCTAGTAGTCACAGTAGTCAGTCAAAAAATGATTTGTGTTTTGTCATTTTCATTTTAAAAGTAGTTCACATGTGTTATGATTGGGAGTGTGATTGTAGACATGGTTTATGTTTATGTAATGCATATGTACCTTAACAAAAATTTCCAGACCATTTGACATATTTATATTATTGGCTATTTTTGCCAATTGTGTGGCCTTAGCTATTTACATCCCATTCCCTGAAGATGATTCTAACTCAACAAATCATAACTTGGTAAGTGTCTTCAGAGTTCCTGCTTATCCTGGTGTACGGTTATCATTTGCTTCTGTACTTGAACTGGCAGTTGATTTTCTGGGTGATGGAAATTTACAACCATGGATATGATGTTTCTTGAAGTTTTGCTACTATATTTTTAAAAAATATTTTTTAGTTGTAGATGGATACAATGCTTTTATTTTATTTATTTATTTTTATGTGGTGCTGAGGATTGAACCCAATGTCTCATATGTGCCAATGCAAATGCTCTACCACTGAGCCACAACCTCAGTCTCTTGGTTTTGTTTTAATCTCTATTCTCACGTTTATATTGAATGAAAGGTTTAAAGTCATGAATCTTGTATAAATAGATATGGAACATTTTGCAGAGGAGATGTGTAGAAGATTTTAAAATGACTTTCTCTCTCTGCCTAGGCATTTGCTTTCTACCAAGCTCTTCCTGATAATATTAGTTTTCTCTCCCTCTCTCTTTTTTTAAAATCCAGTGTTGTTTGGGAATGGTGGGTACTTTGTTCAGTTTTTCTGGTAAGTAGAAAAATGTCACAGATCTTGTATATGAGCTATTAATTTTTATAAAAGTAGAATACAATAAAACAAATAAATCTATACAAAGCATAATTTGGAGAATAAAACAGTATAGTATTGATGTTTCTACTTCAACTACTATGAAATGTCCCAAGGTAAAATGAGTTTATGGTTAAACACTAGTATCCTTCTATATACTTTATTGCCCTCTTAAAGATTTATAGTGTACATTAGCTGAGTAAAAGTTCTGGGAAGTTCCACAGTTAAAAAATAGGTTTCGTTTTGTTTAATTCAGCTAGTCCCTGAAAATAATTGGTTATGGATTTGTTAAAATTTTTTTTGGCAGAAGACTTTAATGTCATGGAACCACTGTTCCATGGGACTTCCTTTGGGAAAAGTTGATATAATTAAAAAAAAAAAAAGGCACTAAGGAGCACTAGACTGAGACTAGGAGCTTGTCCCACTCAACTGTCAGGGAGTTATATTCTGGAGCATTTCTCATACCCTTTTTGCATTGCTCCTCCCCCGCCTGGCAATTAAGGGGATTGGCTAAGAAGATCACTAGGATTGTTTTTACTTCTGACATTCTGTAGTCTTTCTTTGATGATTCAGAAGCCATTTCAGGATTTTTCTGGGGTTGCAGCATCCTTCTTGCAAGAAGCAGTTCCTGATAATTGGAGAACAAGTGGATGAAGGAGGGAATGGCAAACTTTCTCTTCGGCTTTCACCTTTTCCAGCTAGTTGCACTTGGTTTTGGTTTCTTGTGTTGATACTGTATTTGAACAGGGCTGGATGTTCTTAAGTGAGGAGTGCTGAAAAGGCAAACACACGATGATGCTGTTCCTAGTCGGGGAGAGCTCTGCTGGCTTCAAAAAATAGTGAAATTATACTCTTGTGAATTTAGCCTTAATCATTTATGGTACAGGATTTCTTGTTATATTTAAAGTGTTAGAGGCTGGGGATGTAGGTTGGTGGTGGAGCACTTGTCTAGCGTGTGTGAGTTCAATCATGAGTACCATAACAATAAAGAAAATCAGTTGGGCATATTTCAGATGTAACATCATGTCTCTCTGTATTTGGGTTTGGGTAGTTTGATTTCTAGAGAGTTTTCAAAAATTTTTGGATATTGCTGCTGAAAATACAACTGTGAATGGGAGTTGGATATACCTATGAACACTATGAGTATATATTTGTACTATGTTTGAGATTATTTGCATAATTTGGGGTATTTTAAATGGCTTTTGATTTGGTTGTAGACATTTGACATTAAACGATCATTTCAAAGGAAAAGCAGAAAGAGTGAAAAGCCTCCCATCAATGGAGATGGATCCTCGTAGTCTAGGCCACAGATGGTGTTAGCCTTGTTACCAAATTTAACAACGTGGATGGTGACCCAGTTTGTTGCTTTTTGTAGCTCAAGAGAACATGACTAAACAAACTTAGAAAATAAATACCTTTCAGAAAGGCAGATTAATTTAGATCAATGGAATAATTAATGTAGCTGCATGTGTAAGCCAATTAATATTCTGATTTTTTTTTCCCAGAGAAATTCAGGGCACTAATATAAATGCTGTCAGACCATTTAGATTTCTCAGCTTAGAAGTGATGGAATAAAGTATATGAAATGGATAAATCTCTCTTCTCCTTTGCAGCTCCGCCCAGTGGATCTTTTCTTTATAATTCTTAAACTCTGGATTTGTTCTTAGGGTAGGTGAGCAGTGTGTTAGTTTGGCAGGCCTTTTGAAATACCAACGTATATTTTGACCTCTTTACTGAGTGTTCTGAAACTCGTGGTGTTAAAGTTTCTGACTGCTTTCACTTGGATGGTCACATGGCCAGATAAGTTTCTGTACTGCCTGACTCTTTAAATATTTCCTTTCCTACTGTGGGAAGGGAGGCTCTTTGTGGATTTCCCCCTGACTCTGAGCAAGATCCCATGCCATGTCTGTCCTCCCACCAGGGAGCTAGTTCTTTTTTTTATACATTTGACCCAATTTGTACCCAAGTGATTGCTCTATTTTTGGGATCGGTTTAGAGGCAGCTGAACAAAGCTTATTTTTCATCTGTAGTAAATACCTTTCATTTAATGTGAATGACAAAACAAAGGGCAGAGGCTGACAAAGGTTGCAAAGCTGTGCATCTCAGGGAACTGGTGGATTTCTTTGCCTGTTAGCTCAGTGGGAATTGTGTATGACAAGCACTTAGAGTGACATTCAGGGCCCCTTTATGGCTGATGTTTCAGCCTATTTCAGGTCAGTTGTAGTGATAGTATTACTTTAATTGAATAAGAAATGTGGCCATTTCCATGAGCCCAGTGTATGTTTGGTCTGGGTGGTGCATAACTCAGCTAGCTTTGGGGATTTGAAGACTACCTTGGGGGGTAGTAAGTTTTCCCAGAGTTAGATTTTTCTTTTTTTAAATACAAACAGTCTAAGTTTCTATGCCGTTTTCCTTTGTGGACTCACAGGGACAAGTGGAGGCTGAAGCCATGGAAACAATGCAGCTTACTCAGTTCCCACAGTCGTGGCCCTCCCAGTTAAGTCAGTAGCAGTGTTTCCTCATTTCTACTTAATGAAAACTGTACATCATTTTTTTTGTTTTGTTTTGTTTTCTTGTTGGTACAGAGGAGGGGAGCTTTTTCTGTATCTGGTGTCAGAGTAAGGATGATTACAAGTGATACATCCCTGTCATGAGAAATGCTTTATTTTTGCATTCCAGCCTTAAGTCCCTCATAAGCAAACTGATATCGTTTTCAGTCTGTGAAACCTCTTCCTGGTATTCTCCCTCCCCAGGCTGCCTCCCACTTCTGTTGTACAGAACTGCCTCAAATTAGAAATGTCCCAATTGAGGATCTCATACGTCATTTCAGACCTTCCTTGCTATCTGCTAATAATTGTACCCACCTCTAAACCAGTTCAGAGTAGCAGGAGGGTGGGGCCTCTCTGTGACTCATGCTTCTCTATCCCTTTGTCTAGCAAAGGGTCTGGATTATAATAGATGCTCAGTAAATGCTTGTTAAGCTGAACAAAATGTTTTACTAAGTGTTTGACCCCATTCCTGCACCTTTCCTCATCTTATGTTGAGGCCTGCATGTTCATACTTTTAGTTTCTTGACATTTTGCCTCTGTTCAATCCACTTCCACTTCCACTTCCATTTCATTCACATCAGTGTCAGACGTCTTGTCTTGCTAGAAGTGGTCCTCAGGCTTCAGTGGCTAACTATTGCCCACCAAAGAAAGACCAGATCCCATGGCAGGGTCCAATTTGTTCTGGTCCAACCCCACTCTTCTCCTTTACAGTCTCCCCTCTCCTATTTGTCCTATTTCTTTCTTCTTTTATGGTGTTACGGATGTTACCCTTCTCCTTTACAGTCTCCCCTCTCCTATTTGTCCATTCAAAGTTCTTAAGTATCCCCTTTTCTACTTGTCCACCTCATAGCTTTTCTTCCACCGTTTTCTTCATCTGAGATGCTTCTTCCTCTCCATTACCTTTCTTAATATGTCACTATCTTTAAGTTGCTTAATAATCTCAATTTATATCTCTTCAATGAGACCTTTTCTGATCCTAATCCAAAGGAACAAGTCTTATTTGAACCCCTCTCACAGCACTTTGCATGTAAAACACCATACATTTCTGTTATTTATTTGTATATCTTTATCTTATCAAGCAAGCTCAGAATACAATTCAGAGTGAACCATTTTGAGTCCCTGACCCTGCTCAGCACAATAGTACACTGTAGATGTTCAGTCACTGAATGTTGTTGACTGCCAAATGAATAGGTCTTTCAGGAGATGCACCTTGCCCTTTCCTCTCCTTGAGCTAAAATTTAGAATTTTCTTGGATGGCAGGTCCCTCTGTGGACTCCTTAGAGGTCCTTTGCAGGGAGTGGGTAGGAAGTTGTTTCTTCCTGAATTTGGAATCTGTGATTCTTGTGTATCTCTGGCTGAAGGATCCCTCAGAGCTGGATTTCAGTGTGAAGCAGTCACATTTTGGGCTCTGGTTACGGGGATCAGAGTAGCAAAGAGTGGTGGGAGTCCTTCTGGTAAGCTGTGCTGGGCTATGGACACTTGTCAATGGGATTAGATGTCTTAAAGGGTCCAGGAATGCTCTGGGACAGTCTGCTGTGATTGCCTTCTCTTTATCACATCTGAGATCCTTATATATAGTGTTAAGTGGGCTTAAAAAGCAAGCTCATCTGGGGTTGCGGCTCAGTAGTAGAACACTTGCCTAGCATGTGTGAGGTAGTGAGTTCGATTCTCAGCACTGCATATAAATAAATGAATAAAAATAAAGGTCTATGAACGTCTAAAAATATTTATATATATAAAAAAGCAAGCTCATTGGATTTGCATGGTCATGATTTAGTTTCTCACCGTTTTGCACCAAATGGGGGTGTATTGTAATAGAGTACTTGAAACAATTTTGTAACCAGGCTCATTGGACTTTGCCTATAGGGTGTATATTAGTTCTGT